CAGGAATCAAATCTGAAATTATGTTAGGTTGTTTGGGTATATGACCTAATGCTTCTACTGAAAGTAAGCTGCCCATTCTGCAAGCAAAATAAGAAATAGCTTTAAGTTAAAACACCAAATTTATTGCATAATATTGAACTATATGCACACACATAGAAAATAAACATTTCATATAACTGTATATCTTTTTTAATCTCATATTTATAAAGACTGAAAAACTACCAATTTAGCAATTGGAATAAGTTTTAAAAACAAAAAGAAAAAGCAAAAATCTACAATCTTTCATTGAGATTTGCTGTTGTATCACGGTTCATAAATATTTCATTTTATATAAATAAGTCTTTTTTCTAGTTACTAGGAATTTAAAATTAGGCTTACATGGATTCTTTGATCATGTAGAGTTTTCTTATCCCATGATGAGGAAGGCTGAGCATGTCATTATTTTTGAAATACATATATTTGACTTAAACACAATCCCCCCTGAAATCCCACTGTAAACAGACATTTCAAACATGATAAACAGAAGTTCCATAGTAAAGAATGTCCTTAAGTCTTAGCAATTAGGGAAGAGAGCAAATAAAATAGGAATAGAAATTCTATAAATTAAAAATTAAAAAAAATAATAATATGCATGCATCCACTAGAGGGAGAGGACAGGAAGAGAGCATTAAGCCGACTGACAAAGAATGGGAGAAAGTGAGGAAAGAGAAGAAAGTCCAGTGAACAGAGGAGGAAGGGAGAAAAGGGAGGAAACAGAAAGGCGTAGAAGATATGAATGGCAGAGAAAGAGACAAGAAATGTATTATAACTACTTCCTTGGATAATATATTATAGAGACTCTTTAAAAAATTAATACAACTGGCTCCAAAAGCAAGATGAAGGTCATAGGATGGGTGGGAAGCCTGTCATTCACCTATTGTCAAAGGGACAAGGCTGAGCAGCAAAACTGAATGAGGCTCGGTGGCAGCGCTAGCCCCGCACACGTCAGGGAGGTCGGGGGAACGGGCACAGCCAGGACGGTCAGGCTCCCTCAGGAACTGGCTCTGAGAAGTAAGATGCGCTCACAGAGGCTTCCGTCAAGTCTCAAGTTTGCCAGAGTAATGGACCCGGACTCAGCTCTTTGGGGCTGGGAGTTTCTGAAGCAGTCCCTTCCTCCCTTAGGGGAGGGCAGGCCGCAACAGACCAGGGCATCTCCTGGGCAGAGAGAAAGGAGAAGTTTTGTACGTGCAGGTCGAAAGGACCAGTCTCGGAGAAGAATGAGAGGAAAAGACAAGGAAGCATTAAGAGCCTAGGTCAAGGCTGGGAGGGGCGTCGGGAAAATGAAAGTTAAAAACTCAGTGACTTTCAGCCAGCAGAGTGCAACACACTCACAAGTGCAAGGAACACTGGGTAGTCTGGTTTCAAACAAAAACAGAACAAACAAAAACGCCTCCCTTACAAGAGCCAGTTTTTACCCCATCCCCAACCCCTGATTTTCCAAAATGATTGTTTACTGCTTACGACCCCCAGAAACACATCAACCAGGTTCAGGATTCAAAAGTCCCACCCCACGAATACAATAAAAAAATAGAAATCACTCCCCAGGATTTTCTGTATAGGCCTCAATGTGGACACTGAGGGAGGAAGGAAAAGCTCCGACAAGCTGGGGAGCCTCAGGCCAAGCTGAAGCCCTCATAGTTGTCGAGGGCCTGGGTCAGCCGTGCGCTCAGAATCTCTTTGCTGCTGTACTTGGGGAGGTCAAGAAGGTTGTAGCAAGTGTGGGCCACGGGCAAGTACTCCTCCCCGCTGGCCGTGGACTGGATGACGATCTGCAGGCTGGCCATGCCGTAGATGGGAATCCGATCGCTGCCTGTCAGGAACACTGGGGAGAGAGGGAAACGGCATTGACAGCCAAGCCAGCGGCAGCTGAGCTCACTGTCCTCCCCGCCACAGCGAGGAAGGCACGACACCCTGTGGCGCACACAAGAAGTACAACTAGTGCCAGTGTGCAGCCAGCCAAACGACTCCCGGAAACGCCCTCGAGCAAAACGTGCCCCCAGTCAGCCGTGTGCCTGCATAAGTTTCGTGAGCTTCCACAAAATCGAAGCGGAAAGGAATTACTGACACGGGAACAAGGAGCTGACCTGAGGGGGAAACCAGGACAAGACCAAAGCCTCCACGACCCCAAGTTTTCCTCTCAGTCCAAGGGTCTGAGTTTGGCTGCCTTGACTCTCAAGTTCCATGGAGGATCTATCTGTTCTCCTTTCCCTGTCTCTCCATTTTCAAGCGACATTAGATTAGACATTTCGCTCCTGTGACATGCACTCAGACTTGGCAGGAGAGTCTGATCGCCGGTAACTTTCTCAGGGTAGGTTTTGCTGGAAATTACCACAAAGATATAATCATCAGTTGAGGAGCACTTTCAAATAAGCTGCCATTATCTGAGGCTGTGATAAATTGACATTCTTGCTCAAATCTCTAGTGTTAATAAACATTTCTATAATCCTAGTGGCTCTGAACAGGAAGTGCCTTATTCCAGGTAATCACTGTGACCATAAGCAGGCTCCTCTTAAATGTCACAGCCTAGCCCCACACTCTCACTCACCCCATCACTGGGCTCTTGCCATGGCTTCTCAATATACAATGCAACCAGGCAGAGGAGAAGTGGGTTCTTCTTAAGAATTTCTGTGCAAGGGGCCAGTAAGTGGCATGGTGGTTAAGGTGCGGGATGCCCACAGAGTTGACCACGGTTCAAGACCTGGACCTGTGGCAGGTCACCCCCTCTCTCATTCTCTCTCTAGTGGGTACATGGGCCCTATAGCAAATTAAAAATAATTTTTTAAAAAGAATTTTTGTGCAAAAGCTCCCACTCTTTTGATCCCTCTCCATGTAAACAGCAAAATTCATATATACTCATTCTTTTTTTAAAAGAATTATTCATCAAATTTTATTTATTATTATTACTGCTTTTGCTATAGAGCACTTGTGCTCATAAGAAAGAGAGAGAGAAAGAGAAAGAGAGAGAGAGGTGAAAATGAGAAAGCAAGCTACCAGGTCCGGGACTTGAACTGTGGCCGGCCACATGGGAGTCCAGCACCTCAACCGCCACACCACCAATGGCCCCCATATATACTCATTCTTACGAAGAAAAAAGAGTCTCTTTTCTAAAGCCTGTATTTTGGGGGAGAACAAAACCACGTCTACACTACTTACTTGCTCATTTCTGACCCTGATCACATACTGGCGTAAATAGAGAAAGCTGTCAATGATTTTGAAAGGCTGACTCTGTTTATGCAGACTAGGCATCGTTCTCCTTGCCAAGGTAGTACCCTTCTCAAATGCCATCCAGGTGGTCACAAAGGACCACATAGCGTGTGATTCCATTTCTGTGAAATGTCCAGAACGGGCCAATCCACAGGGAAGAAAGAAGGGAGTCGGGGGAGCAGGAAAGCGTGGGGAGCTTAGGGGTGCAGAGGTTTCTTTATAGGGTGTTGAGTATGAGCTAAAATAGTGGGTCGTTGGAAAAATCAAGATGCATTTTAGCATAAAAAAATACATCATGACTTTTCTGACAACCCAATAGATGGTATGATGGTTGCAAAACTCTGTAAATATCCTAAAAAGCACTGAATTGCTGTCTCAGTGAAGCTGCTATTAACCACATCTCCCCAGTGCCATCTGCAATGAGTAGTCTGTAAAATTCTTTAAAAGCTAAAGAGATAAGGGAGGTTAATCCAAACAATTTATCTCATAGATGGAATACTTAAAATAACTAGATTTTTTTTAAATATGATTTTGGGGCACATGCACTCCCTGGAGAGAGACAGTGAGATGGAAAGTAAGAAGTCACCGCTGGGGGGGATGGTCATTTCACAGTCCCTACTCCTCTACTCTCCTCTCAGGATTTTGGGCAGGCATGCACATGTGCCTGTTATGATTTTGAAGCTACTGGGTCCAGGACTCGAACCACAGTTAATTATGTGGGAGTCCAGTGCTTTAACCACCATGCTACCTGCTGGCCCCAATAACTAGTATTGTTAAAACAATTTAAAATCAGTAATCCTTTCATGCAATCCCTCCTGCTAGGCAACTGTCATAGATTAACAACCTATGTGGTATCCGAGATGTCATTTGAAAGAAAGCAAAATTTCATTACTTCCTCTTTACCATTAAAAGACTTAAGCTGTCCTTGTGGAGTTTATCACCCTATACTATATGTAAAGCTAAAATGTAAACAAATGCTCTCTTGAGAGTACTGATACTTACAGAGAAATTTCTTCTTCTTTTCCAATGGAAACTCATGAAATGTCTCCCAAAACAGTTTCACAGTGGGATGTGTAGCAGAGTAATCACCCTTGTAGATGGCAGTCTATTCAAAATAGACAGGGAGAAGTATATTTTACAGAGAAAGAACATTACAGTGAATACTGTGACCCTATGCATTTGGGACTGAGAAATAACTGCTGAGATGCAGGAGACCTCCACAGCCTACCCGACTACAGCAGGCTTTGCACAGGCCTGAGCTGGGGACACACCCGCCCAGGCTACTGCTGCTTGCCCAGGGTGAGAACAGAGCATCTTCTACACTTACCTCTTCTAGTTCTTCCCAGTTGTAGTTGCTGTTCCCCACCATCATGGCCCTCAGTTCGGAAGGCTGGAAGAGCTCAAGTACTTTGCCACCGCACACCTTTAGGAAGCCGCTGGAGAAGGCTGTGTACCACTCATGAACGGAGATTTGGAAGACATAATTCACATAAGCATCCACAAACTCCTGCCTGCCAGAAGAACAAAAAAATACAACACAGTTAGCTCAAAACCTGGTGAAATTTATGAAGTTTTCCTCCTTCACTGAGGCTGAGCGATGAACAATGGAATCTCTCGAATTCTTACAGGAGGCATGCCAAGGCATCATATCAGCCACCAGCTCTTCACTCCACCCCGTCTCTAGCCCTGGGAGTCTACCAAGTGCTGCAGGTGATCTGGGGTGCGGTAGGCCAGGTAGGAAGAGGAGGCAGCAGGCAGGCAGACCCGCACTGCTGCCTGAGCGCAGGTCCTCCAGTTTTCATCTTGTTTAAGGTCCTGCTTAAAATCCAGTTTAGATAAGTCTAAGGTAACTTTTTCTGTTTAAAAGAAAACATCTAAAACAGCTCTAGGGTACTTCCCCTAATTTTGGAAACAAAGCCGATATCTATATCCTCACCTATTTTAAAATATCATTTTATAACTCCTTTTTTTCATTTTTATTAACGCTAGAAGGCGTGTGTGCGTGCCAGAAAGAGAAAGAGAGAGACAACCACCAACAGGCCTTGGTCATCCTTCCTCCTTACCCCCCAACCCATCAGCATCCTGGGCACATGCATACCTAGATGTTAAACTCTTTTAACTACATCTGGAAAGAAGTGCCTTAAACAATGGCTCCATCTCACTAATCATCAGATAAATGCAAAAAAAAGATGACAGTAATTACCATAAGCGCCCATCAAACTGGCATCAATTTAAAAATCATGTAATATCCAAGACAGTGAAGGTATAGGGGAACAGGAACCTCACACATAGCGAGTGGGAAGGTATATTATGAAAGGAAGGGAACCACAGATAGGCACTATGAAATAAATGAAGATCACCCAAATGAGAACATGCAAAGGCTATTTACTCCGAGCTTGCCGTAGCAGAAGAGTCAGCCACTGCCGTATGTGAGACTCGAAGGCAGGCCAAGGAGTGGGAGAGATCACAGAACAAAAGGGAAGGTCCGCTGTGCCCTGACTGGAGGCGTCGGCATCGGGGAGCTGCAGGTGGACTAACCAAAACTGGGGCACTTGAGGTGACTGGTTAGGATGTACATTTGGTCCTCAGGGGCAAAAACTAGGGAAGCTGTGGGTTCTTAATCAAATCCTGACCGATCATTAGAGAAGTTATTGAGAGAGACAGCAATCAGGCTTCCTGAGCGGGCTGGCTTCCTAAGCTGCTCCCTGCAGATATTCACGAGGTTGTTCCCTGGGCAAGCGACTGGATTGTGGGTCAGCACTCTGTTTTTATATATGGATACTCAATCTCATTCGAGGAAATGTCAACTGTGAGAAGGCAGGGCATAAACATGTGGGGGGAAATTCACCAATATCTAGAAAAACTGAAAATATGAATACCCTTTGGCCCAACTAGTCTACTAGCACTTGAATAAGCTGAAGATACTGTCAAATAACTGCACAGAAGATGGGGACAAGGACATGCATGGCAGCATTTGCCTGTAGTACGGAGAATCCAGAGAAACAAAAGTAAAGATCCATTAACATGAGAACGGACAAAGAAAAGATGTTATAGCAATATGATGGAGCCCATGAAACAGAGTACTTTAGTAGAATGAATTTGATCTGTATTTAGAGAAGTAAATAGAACCTCCAAACAATGCCAAGTGAAAACCAAGCTTTTGAATCCTAAGTAAAATATGAGAGCATTTATGTAAGTTGTTTTTCAACACTGAAAACAATGCTACCTATGAAAGGTAGTAGCTCTGCCCCTTACAGTTAACGACCCGTAGGCAAATTATTTAAATTACTCTACATTCTCAGTTTCCTCATCTATAAAATGCGGAGAGTAAGAGTACATAACTCATGAGACTGTGGAAAGAACTAAATGAGTTAATACATGCAAATGTGCTTAGAACCCAGTTTGGCATATAACAATTGCTTGTGAAGTGTTTGGATATAAAACATGTTTATGGATACAAAATTTTGTTCATGAGGTAAAAATTAAACATATATATGAGAAGCGTAAGTGCTCATTTTTCAAAATGAAGGCATTAATGTAATAAGATCTTTGTCTTAATATATGTTCATTATAAAAGTATAAAAACATGGGAACCAGCAGTTGGCGTAATGACTATGTCGCTGGACTCCCACGTAGTCGACCGCGGTTCGTGTCCCAGACCCGGTGGCTTAAAACTCACGCCGGGCGCGTGTGCGTGCGTGCCCAAGATCCCGAGAGGAGAATGAAGGAGAAGGGATTGCGGTGTGACCATCCCCCCTGGGGGGGGATTTCTCGCTTTCTGTCTCTATGTCTCTCTCTGTCTGTCTGGCGAGCGCACGCACAAACGAAAACCTCTCAAAAAAAAAAAGTATAAAAACATGAAAGAATATACAAATTCAGAATGAGAATTCTGTGTAAGAAACAAGGATGCAAGAAGGGAATGGGACTAAATGTTTAAATGGGACTAATATACTAAAGGAACTTCGATGGTATCAGTAACTTTTTTCTTATATTGAAACACGTAGGGTCAGTATATGGCGTGAAGGTTAAGGCACTGGACTCCCACATAGCCGATTCAGCAGTTTGAGTCCCAGACCCAGTGGCATGTGCGCACATGTGCATGTCTGTGTGTGCACGAGCCCAATATCCCAAAAAGAGAAAGGAGGAAAAGAGACTGCAGTGTGGCAAACCCCACTGCGGAGTGATTTCTCACTCTCCCTCTCTGGCGAGTGCATGAACCCTATAGCAAAGCTGGAAGAAAAAAAGAAAAATGTGAAGTGAAAATCTATTTACTCTGGATAGTACAAACATGTTTGTCATCTTTGTGCTTTTCTGTACTATAATTTAAAAATTTTAAACATCATGAAGATGATTACTTTCTCTTTTTTTAAAGAATTATTTATTTAATTCCATTTGTTGTTGTTGTTGTTATTATTATTTTTAACTTGACCAGAGAGAGAGAGAAAGGAAGAGAGCAGGCCGCCAGGTCTAGGACTCAAACCACAGTGGGTCATGTGGGAGTCCAGCTCCCTTAACCACCACGCCACCTGCCGGCCCCAAAGATGTTTATTTTCTACTTATCAAGCATGGTAACCTAATATGTCAGAAAATTCCATTTGAATTCTTGTGTTTCCTCTAGCAGACACTTTTCACATCTATACCAGTAAATAACCAGCAAATGATACGACACAGTGGGTAGCTGATAAAAGCTGGGGTTCAAATTCAGGCTTTGCCATGTTTTGTATCTAACTAATAAGGCTCTCTTTTCTCATTTTTAAAAGCGGTTAATGAGTGGACCAGCAGGTGGCATGATGGTTAAGGTGCTGGACAGTCCCATATGGCTGACCATTGTTCAAGTCCCAGACCTGGTGGCTTGCATTCTCACTTTCCCCTTATCTCTCTGTGTCAAGTTAAAATAAATGAAGGAATGAATAAATAAATATTTTTTAAAAAAGGGACAAGGGTTCAATTTTAAAAGTAAAACCATTAATTATTGTACATTTGACAACTTTTTTCTCTTTTTTGGGGGGAGAGGTTTTTGTTATACGGTGCAGGCGCTTGCCAGAGAGACAGAAAGCGAGAAATCACCCCCCAAGGGATGGCCACACCGCAATCACTTCTTCTCCATTCTCCTCTTGAGATCTTGGGCATACACGCAAGTGCACCTGGCGTGAGTTTAAACCATTGGGTCTGGGACTCGAATGGTGGTCGACTACATGGGAGTTTAGCAACATAGTTATTACACCAACTGCTGGTCCCCATTTGACATTTTTTTAAAGATTATTGTACATTTAAAATTTGGGGGGGGAGCCAGAAGATGGCATAATAATTACATTGCTGGACACCCACATGGCCCAAGTCCCAGACCCAGCGGCTTCAAACTCATGTCAGGTACATGTGTGTGAGTGTCCGAAATCCCAAGAGGAGAAAGGAGGAGAAGGGACTGTGGCATGGCCAACCCCCCGGGGGGTTATTTCTTGCTTTCTGTCTCTCTGTCGTCTGTCTGTCTCTCTAGGGAGCAAACATGCCCTACAGCGAAAATCTCTCTAAAAAATTCTTTATTCATGATAGAGCATGTGTGCATAATGACTGTGTGTGTGTGTGTGTGTGTGTGTGTGTGTGTATGTGTAAGAAAGAGTATCTTTGCAGACAGAACCAAGTTACAGTGAGGACACCAGAGTGGGACCTAATCTGACATGGCTGGTGTCCTAATGGAAAGGGGAAATTTAGACACAGAAGCATACCCAGAGGAGAAATGACGTGAAGAGACAGGGAGAAGACAGCCACCTATAAAGCCACAGAGACCTGGGACAAGCCTTCCCTCAGAGCTCTCAGCAGGAGCCAACCTGCCAAAAACCTTGATTTTGACCTTCTAACCTCCAGAACTATGAAGACAATAAATCTGTTGTCTACACCACCTAGTCTGAAGTCCAGGGTAAGTATCCCTAATCCAAAAATATGAAATCTGAGATGCTCTCAAATCCAAAAATTTTTTAACACTGTTATGATGCCACAAATGGAAAATTCTACACCTGATCCCATGACAGGCTGAAATCAAAATGCTACAATACAAAAATGCTACATAAAATTACCATCAAGCTATGGGCATAAGGTGTATATGAGGGCCTGCAGACAGCGTGAAGGTTAAGGCAGCTGAATCCCATCTGGCTCACTTTGCTGCTTGAGTCCCGGAGGCTTGAAAATCATGCTGGGCCCATGTGAGTGCATGCCCAAAATCCTGGGAAAGAATGGTGAAGGGATTGAGGCATGGTCATCCCTCCTGGGAGATGATTTCTCTCTCTCTCTCTTTGCCAAGCACATGTGTCCTGCAGCAAACTTACCCAAAAAAAAGAAAAAAAGATGCATATAAAACATAAATTAATGTTGTATTTTGACTTGAGTTCCGTTCCCAACGTATCTTATTGTATATACGTGAATACTCCAAAACCTGAACAACTTCAAAATCTGGAACACCTCTGTCCCCATGCATTTTGGATATGGGATACTTAACTTGCACTTTACTACAGCAGCC